AGGGTGACTTATTTTATAATGTTAATGTGTTTTATATTTTTAGTGTTTTATATTTTAACTGATGTTTTGTAAGCCGCCCCGAGGCTTCGGCGAATGGGGCGGCATAGAAATTTTTAAATAAAAATAAGTAAATAAATAAATAAATAAATAGACTCTCCCGAGCCTCTCCTTGCTTTAAGCAAGACAATTTCTGCCTAAGGAAAATACAAACCAAGTACCCCTCTTGACTGAACAGAGCCCTTTCAGAAGACTTTGGGAAGAAGGAAGTGGGCAGTAAGTCTCAAACAATAACACTTCCTTTAAGTGAAAGGATTCCAAAGGTTCAAAAGGGGAAGTCAGCAAATGAACAAGGATGAGTGTATGTGAGAAGCTGGCAAGAGCCACATGTCACCAGCAGGTGGTGCCAGTCAGAGCTTTGGGAGAAAATGTGATTCCTTTTGCATCAGAACTAGGAATTGCTTAGACGGAATTAGCACAGCTAGTGCACAGACAGGTTAAGTCAAAAGACATGCTTTTTCACATCGTGAAAAGTAAGACTGAGATGGACATGCAAGGAGGCGCTAGCACATCTGTAGCTTCTGAGAGCGTGCTGAGGGCTGCCCATCAGCTTCTGTTACTCAGACATTACCACAGAAGGAGCAGGTGTGAAAATGTGTGAATGGATTGAATTCGGCCATATTTTGTTTAAATAAAAGGTTTCAATTGTCCGTCTTTCACCCCTTAATCCCAACAGTTTGTAATACCAGCACACCAGGAGACTCCTGCTTCCAGCATTTGTTTCCAAAGTATTTGTTTCAGGGAGTTTGCTGTTTCCAGTTTGGATTTCTCATCTTCCTCCCCACCTCAAGTCACTTTCAGTTTTACTAGTGGAGAGCTTCCAAAAAGTCATCCGTGGGTTAACGGGAAGATTCTGCAATAAAATTCACTGCAAGCTCTAAGCCTTCCAGAAGTTCTCTCCCCATTTTGCCTTTTCCACTTTCTTGCGTTACAGCCTGACCTTGAAGGGGGATTAATAGGCACTGTTATCATGTGGTGTACTCATGAGGCTTGATACTGTGGCACTACACAATATTTTTATCATAGCACAAAAGCCAACAAAAACAAACTGATAAAATGTGGTGCCCTTTGCTGTGACATGCTAATATAAGCTCTAGTGCAATGTATGGCCTTCAAAGTCATGTACTGTAATTCCGCTATGTGCAACAATTTCAGATTAAATACACCTGTTGCTGGAGGACCCCAGAATTTGTTAGACACACCATGAAGATGAAAAGCTATTACGGGAGCAATTTGCACTAACAGCCTGGATAGAAATTTAATTAATTGATTGATTGATATTTAAACAATCCCAGGATAAAATTGTGTAGCAGTACCAGTCAGATCTGAGTAAGATAAAACAAATCCCAAGCTATGAACATCCCCTGGAACACTGTTAAAACCATTATTACAAAAATGGAAAAATATGGCTCAATTGGAACTTTGCCTAGAGAAGAGCATCCACCAAACCTCAGTGAGGTGATGAAGGCCTTTGCTGGAGAAGCAACTAGGAGGCCAATGGTAATTCTCAAGGGGATGGAGAGATCCATAGCTGAAATGGGCAAAGCCACGATGGGAAAGCTATCAGCCATGTGCTCCACAGAGCTGGGCTTTATCGAAGAATGGGGAGAGGGAAGCCCCTCTTCCTATGGAAACCTGCCCAAGAATTTCATTCCTCTTACATGTCACATCAAGGTGCAATGTTTAGTCAAAAAACCTTACAAACTTTGATCATGTGTATGTTAAGAATTGTAGGCCTTTTTCATCCAAATATGCGTAGGATTGTGCCCTTCGTGCACAATCCTACACATATGCAACAGGCAGAACAAAAGAGAGAACCTTGCCAGTTGCAGGACCTGAACTGGGAAGCAGCTTCTGCAGCAGGAGGATCCATGCTCAATCACCACATGCCTTTTGATGTGTTTGAAAGGTGTTGTTTCTGTTGCTTTTAATGAAATCTTTCCTCTTCTATGATGATTCTGTTGCTGGTTTGCCACATGAGTGATTGCATTATATTTTGTATTTTGTTTCATTCTATTAGGTGAAGGCTTCTGGAATATATAATTGTTTTAAACAGCCCCTGTTGTGATGACTTGGATATTGTGGAGAGAACATTTGTCTATTGCGAAGGTTCCTGGAGGAGGCAATGCATGGCTGTGCACCCACCACACAGACACACCTTGCACTTTAAGAATTGCTATCAGTGTGTTCTTCTTGGTCTCTGTGCATCACACATATGGGCCTCTACATGCATGCATGGAGCTCTATCAGGAAGATTCCAGAGCAGATTATTATTTGGCAAGAGCCATCCCCTCAGGCAAACCCAGTGTGAGGGGAGGTTCTCAGTGGGATACTTGCTTACTTACAGTGCAATCCTATAAATAGCTGTTCAGAAGTGAATAATCCCCATTGCTTTCAGTGGGGATTATTTCCAAATTTCAGGTATGGGTATTGTTATAGCCTCAGTGATTGCATTAAAGGGCAGATTTTGCTCCATTGTAATGCTATTACTTTGTGCAGTGTTTTACTTTTTCTCACAGGAGTGTCATTCAGTATATGAATGAAAGTAGAGGGAACTACTTGGTGACACCATGGGTTAGCACGGGCTTGTGCTCATAAAACCCCACTCACTCAGAGACACCTATCCCTATCTGGATGACACTTTCCACGGTTGTTTCTTGACCATTGTGGAACTAGGAACTGACCTTTATATAGCTATATAGACAAATACTATGGGCTTCATCAAGTAAATCCAAAAAAAAAATGACCAGCAAATCTAGCCAAGAAAGCTTTGCCTTCCCATTCGACCTCAACAATCTTGACCATTTTGGAACATCATGTGGATTCTGGGCTTGGAGCAGGATGACATCCCATAGCTTGTACAAGTGACAAAATTATTTGTGGTTGCTATTTAAGCATGCTAGGAGTATAACAAGCAGTTTTTGAAAGACCTGTATAATGGTGAATTTGCTGAGGTTAACCAGTGGTATTGTATCTTTCTACCAATTGAGATTGGTTATTGCTTGATTATTTCCATCCCTGGGTGGTTGCCGTTATTTCTTCATCTGTACAGCTGTATGTGACCTGCTTCTAAACAAGTGCTTTGTGATAGAGCATGAGTTATAGTGATGGTGTTTGTAGTATGACATGTGATAATAAAGGATGACTGGAGTGTTAGCAATGGCATTTCAGTTATGAAATACCCTCCCAAAAGTGGCTCACCCGGTATCTGCATTAAAATCTTTCATGTCCAAGCTAAATCATTTTTGTTTACTAAGACATTGTGTATATCTTAACTGTTAGATTGTATTTTATGTTGTGATCATTGATCGCAGGACAGTGTATGAGGCTTTAAAAATAAACTGCATATCCCTAAAGTTGCAGTACTATTTTTATGAGGATTTAGGACACAAGTCCTAACTATTCAGTGTGATAGGTTTGGAATCACACAATAAAAACCCCATATACTGGGTTGGATCCAGGCTTCACTGTTGTTAAAAAGCCCATTGAAATTGGAGACTTACTTATTCCCATTGATTTCAATGAATCTAAGCATGGAGGCAGCCCTCCTGCAATTCAGGTTCTGATCCTGACCAGATTTACCCAGAGACAAATCTTACACTTAATGGGAAGAACAAATCATGGTGACCCTTCTCGGATGAGTGCATCCCCTAGGAAGTATGGATGGGCAAACTGAATGTGATAAGCCTACGGAGTAGATGATCAGCCATGAGGTAGGTAAGAAAATCTGTGAAAAGATCAGCAACACTGTGGAAGTGATGAACTGACATGAGTACCTGCGCAAGACACCCACCCAGTCTGAGGTGGACAATGTCTTTGCTACTAGGCAACAGGATGTGCAACCTGTACATTTCTTACAGGATCAGCTGTCTCACTGAGAGATTGCCGCCACCACCATGCGATGCCTCATCCAGGACACCGTGACACTCGATGCCCAGGAGCCTGCAGACCTGATATTCTTGACAGGGATCGTGAACAATGGGCTTCTGCCCTCACTGAACCCCAAGTCCATGCAGGAGTAGATGCCCAGGCCCCCTGTCCTAATTGATTAACTCTAAGGCCCCACCAGGGCAAGGATAGAACTACCTTGTTCAGTAGATCCCAGCTTTTCCCCTTACAGTATTGAATGGACCCTTTCCTCAGTCATCGTGATTAGCGCTAGCTCCATTAGATGAACTACAGGATGTTGCCCACCTGATGACATCAACCTTGGTGCTCTGAGCCCTAAAGCTGTATGTAGACCAGATACCTTGACTTCTTAATTGTGGTGCAGGTGGGATATAGATAGCATAAACTGATGGACCAGTAGATCTCATGCTGTGGAAGTTGATTAGTGGTTGCTTGCTGGTTGTGCAGAGGAACAGTTGAGAGAAGCTTCCTTTAAGAAAAGGCACGTCCACCATTACTTTGCAAACAGGTGACAATACATCTGGGAAAGATGTTCCCAGGTTCAGGCCTAATGATGCCTCAATCCAATTGAAAATCAGTGACAAGACTTGAAAGTTACTGTTCATCAATGATCCCAACCCCATCCAATCTGCCACAGCTGGAGCAATTTTGTCAGGAATAGGAACATGGCAGAATCCCAATGCAGAGACTTACCCAAGACAAGTTGCAGGTGTAATTGCTGCCAAATGTGCTTCTGCCCAAGGAGCATGGTGTATATTTACACAAACAAGCAGCATACAATTAAATGAAAACTGTACAATAAAAATTTTGCAACTTGTGTTAAATACTTTTTCTACATCAAGTGATAACAATGTGAATTAAATCCATTTCAACTCCAGTTTATAACTCAACATGTTGAAGTCAGTGGGGTGAATAATTCTGCAAAACACTGCATATAGCTGTGGTTGTAAGATCAAGAACCGCATTGTTTCAAACAATCCAGTTTTTCAAATTAGAAAGCCTAATTATCTCCAGGGATGACATTACAATTTAGGTTATATTTAGATACCAGTTTATTAAGTTTGAACAAGTATTCTTTAAAATAATTGAGTCTTTACCATGAATGCAAAGTGAGCTCTTAGTGGCAGGAACTCCTTTGGGTGGCCAAAGGTTGTTATGCTACATAGCTTCAGCTCTGGAAGCCATTATGAATGTTCATCAGGCAGTTATCAAAAGATTAATAGCCCATGTTCTGTTTCAGTCTTTCAGATATAACAGACAGCCTAAATCTAATTTAAGTTGACTTACAGACCATTCAGAGATACAGAATTACAGGTATATAAAACAAAGACAAAAAGCACAGGCAAAGGAAGACATCTAGTTCACAGGGTATGTACTCTGCCTGTGAACTGTTCAAGTAGTTTCAGTTGCAACAAAGTGCTACTTCACATTTCACATAGAAAAGGGCAGTATAAAAGGACAGACAGGGAAGACAGGTTGAATGCTTTGACATAAAGTTCAGAAGTTGAAACCATCACTACTTTCCTGAATCTGGAAGGTGTATGCATCAGCACTAGATTCTGGAACAACATTCTCATCTTCTTCCTGTACAAATAGTAATGATTGAAAAAAAAGCTATAATTACAATGCTGAAACCCTGTAGTTGCAACCCATTGCACTGTTGAGACTGAAGAGTAAATGCCTGTTTGGTAACTTGCACTAACAAATTGTGTCAATGTTTTTAAAGTTCTGCCTTAAAGTTGCACAATGAGGGTACATGCCATCCATTTGTATCCCAATAGTTTTTTGTAGTACCACATTCAACAGACAGCAAGACCAACACAGACGTCTCGGTGATCTCCTACTTTGTGCGCATGTATGTGCACAGCAGGCATTAAGCCAAATGCCATGTACCTTGGTGTGGTACAGCTGTAGCCTTTTGCACAGCACCATGAACTCTACTGCACACACTGAACTTCCTCACCTCTGCTGAGAAGTACTTCTCAATCAGATTTGCAGCAGCCTTGTACACCTGTTCATTTTCATGGGATTGTAGAGCTTCAATTTTGTCTAAGCCACCACACTCTTCAATCATGATGCAAAGCTTTTCAGTCTCCTTTATTTTCTCAGCTGCCTAAAGAAATTAAGGAACAGGTTTCATAGAAATAGCCCCAATTAAGTATTGCAGAAGATGGTCCACAGATCAATCTTGATTCAAGATTTAGGCTGTAATCTAGTATGCACTTACCTGGAAGTTTACTGACACTATCTTCTAAGTAAATAGGCACAGGGTGGTGCTGTTAACCACAAGAGGCAATGTGGTAGAGTGGTTAAGAGCACCCAAGTCCTAGTTCTGCAATCTGGAATCTAGCGCCCACACAGTCATGGAGTCGGTTAGGTGACTTTGGGCCTGTTGCACTCTCAGCCAAACCTGCCTCGCAGGGCTGTTGTGGGGATAAGATTCTGAGCAGGAGGATATAAGCTGTTCTGAGTTCTTTAGAAAAAAGCAGAATATAAACCTAATAGAATAAATAAGCTAGATTGCACATTGCTGCTCCTGGAACTTTGGCATCCTTAGACTTTGAAAATCAGTACAGGTCAAATTTCAGATGGGACAAGGTTCTGGATTCTTTTACATTTGTAATGCATTTCTAAATAATCTAATTTTTAGTTTTATAACATCAGATAAACAGCCTGTGATCTTCCATAAACAGATGTATACATGATTACTGGGTAAGACATTTTATCCTTACAAATTACCAGAAATATTTGTCTGTGACCTGAAGTTAAGAACTTTATATTCTTCTTCCGTATTTGATTTTGTACTGTCATGACTGAAAAGCAATTTCAGCCTTTTGAAAAATGGTAAGGTTGACTGTGACTTCAGACAGATGATTTAACTTGAAGTTCAGCCAATAAAAAGCTGTGAGGTTCAATATTGTTAAAGCAGAATTATGCATTGAAAGCACAGCTGGAATTGACATCTTTGGACCATGTTTTCTGTCAACTTACCATAAAGATGTTAGTAATGGCATCCAGAATCACAAGGACAGTTTTGCCATCTTTAACCATCAGCAGGTTCAACAATGGTTCCAAAACCCCAGTCTGAACAAGGTATATGATCTGGCCGATGGTTCCACCACTTGTGTAGTTGGTCACAGCCCATACAGCTTCTTTTTGGGATTTGAAATCCCCCTGTTTTAAAAAAAGTAAAGGGATAGGAAAATAGCAATTTTGTAATTTGGAAACAGTCCAGGAAAAGACCTGGATGCTGAGGCCTAGTACAGGAAAGTTCATACATGTGAGAAATGGATGCAATGGTTGAGTGATATAACTGTATTCCTGAAATTCCAAAGGGCTTTCTAAATGAAAGTTTTATGCAAGAAATTTGAAAGCACCTAAGAGCCTCTTCTACAATATTGTGAAGATTTCTAGTTTCTTCTGGACGCAAGTAAGTAAGATATGTGCTGAGTTTCTTAGGATACAAGCAACTGACATTGTCATTCTCAGTTCCAATTTGTACATAAAAAAATCCTCAGCTATGTGGCTACTTAAAATAAATGGACATGCTCCTCAGTCCACTGAGTTATACCCTACTGAGGAGTATTCAGAGCAAAACTGGTCAGTGGTCATTCCTGCAAATGGCCCTGGTTCAATACACTTCATGTTCTTAAAGCAGTGGAAGTGACTTTAAAAAACATTAAAGTAAACAATTGTTTTGCTGCTACTTAACTGACAATTCAAAAATGATCGCTTGTTGCTATTTCTTAACACCATTTAATTTTGGAAGAATAAATGGTCATCTCAACAAGCAAACTTTTAACCATTTTTCTTATTTTAAATTCTTAAGACTTTACAGCTAAGCTTCACCTGAACCAGTAATGGCACAGTGAGGCAAAGAATATAGAGTTTTACCTTTTTCAAGATGCCAATAAGGTATGGGACAAGCCCATGATCCACAACCTTCTGGATCTGATCCTGTCGGCCAGCAGTGATGTTAGACATGGTCCAAGCTGCTTCTTTCTGGATGTTGTTTTTGTGGTGAGTAAGCAAGCTCGGAAAGACAGCAAGTGCTCCAGAGTCTATAACAATCTGTGTTTGTTCGTCAGTTCCTGTTACAATGTTTCCTATGGCCCTTAATGAAGGAGTCTGAAAAAAAAAAAAATGAGGGGATCAGTTGGTGTAAGGGTATGACCAAAAATGTACCAGAAATTTTTATCCCATAGTGTGCTTCAACAGAGTAAGCTCTTGCGGCATCTTCATAACGCATACTGATGAAACTATCCCATGAGTGAAGTGCTCTGTGCTTTACTCAGTCCTCTCATGCCATTACAGCAAGAGTGCCACTGCTACAATCAATTTGCACTTCTCATCCACCTGCCCCAGATTAGAGTGTCACTTTTGCAAACAATGAATATAGATCTCATTCTAGCGAGTGTCAAAAGAAACTCCAATGTGAACCCCTATGTGTTCTGTTAACCCTTTGGCTATTCTACTAGGGGACTGACTGCTCATGTATTGTAAGATGTCAGAAGTACTCAGAAGGAAAATTAAAAGGATGTTTCAGTTACAACTATCAGGAGCAGAAGATATCCTCCTCCCCTAGAGGATCACATTCCTCCTTAAGCCTTCCTCAGTGAATTAGTACTTTGAATAAGTATCATGGGCACAGACAAATCCACTCAGAGCTGGTCCTGTTAAAAATATTCTACTTTTCTTCAAATTCTTCTCATGGATCTTAGTAAGCATGCTGCTGGCTTATAGGCTTCTGTAATGCAGAGTTCTCAATTACAGATGAAGAGAAGCAGATTACTTAGCAGCAAATACTAAACAGTTTGAATGAATTACTGTATGAAATAAAAGCTGAAAGCAAGCCAGCTCCAGACCAGTTGAAGTGCATTTGCTTTACACAGTGTTTCAGTTTCAATCCCAGCATACAGACAATCAAAAAGATGCCTTATATCATGTAAAATGATTCCCATTGACAACAACTCATCGCTAGGATAAGACCAACACTAGCAGTCAAAAGATTGGGGAAAAAGTTTTGCCTTCTTTGCTGCTCTTCTAAAAGAAATCAAGGAGCCAGCTGTGAGACATCTAATCTGGTGAAAACAGACCTCCTCTGAATGTTATTTAGCCAGATGGCTGTTTGTCCTTGGAGTACTAGTGCTGTGGGTTCTCTTTATCAGGATGCTTTTTTCCCTTGATTTTGTTCAATACTCATTAAATATTGCTGGATTTTAATAGACTTGTATCTATATTTCTCATATCTTCCAGGAACTTAAACAGTCATTTTAAGTGGCTCAGTTCAATTTATTGTAGAAAAGTGGCATAAATATACCCAGTAAGCTCCTCAGTCCTATCACCACCATTCACTATTCTCTGATATCCCGTTTTCTACTCAGGTCTCTTTTCCCCTCCAACCAGTTCCTCCCATTTGCTCTTTGGTAACATTCTGTCCTCTACCATTCTCTTGAATCCATCACAACATACAGTAAGCATTGTACATGTTTGCTTTTTTCAGATTTCTCCTATAACAGACAAGAGTGGAATGCTAAAAAGTGCCAATTGCTCAAGGCAGGGGAAGCAAAAGCCACCAGGGAGGTACGCCTACTGCTTTCCACAAAGATCATGGCAAGAGAGACCACCTGACTTCATTCACTGGCAAGCAAAGAGCAGCTGTTCAAATGCTTCAGTTTATCTTCTCAACTCCTTTTTTTAAATCTATCTGGCCGTAAATCTCAGGCCAGGGACTCTATTTTTGCAACATTTAGATAGGTGATTTCCAAATGCTACATAAAAATGCCTGTGTTACTGCTGACATGTACACAGGGAAATAGGTTGCCTTGATGGGACACAATTATTTTCCATTACTTTAGCAATATAATGGAACCATCATTTACACTACTTCAACATATTAGAAGTATTTCTAGCTAGAGAACATTACATCAAAACTCAACAGCAAAAGCTGCATATTTCCTGGGAAACCTGCTCTTTTATTTAAATATAGCTATGCATGCAAAGCCTACAACTAGGATCCAATTGGAACCACTCACATTAAGGATTTTTACCACTGCTTAACCTACATTCGTGTTTGTAGCCATCTTACCATTATTGGAATTTCTCCACATCCCAGGAGCTTCACTAGCTGAGGCACTAGCCCAGATTTTACTACTATTTCAATTCTGTCGTTTGAGCCATCAGTCAAGTAAGAAATAGCCCAGCATGTGTCTGCCAAAACCTCATGGTCATGGTGATGCAGTAGGCGAACTAACGTAGGAAGGATCTGCTCAACAGCTTCTATGGGTGGTGCAGGGTTCTTGTTACGACAAAGGTTTGACAAGGTCCAAGTTACATTACGCAAGTAGCCAACCTGAAAGCAAGTCAGGAAAAAGATTTAATAATGCCGTTATTGCATTAATCTGGCAATTTTAGTGTCACAGTTGCTGCAGCAATGCTCACAGACTTACAGCTATAGAAGAGAGATCAGGAACAGCAAGCAGGGCCAGAAGTGGGTCAAGTGCACCATATTTAATAACTAAGTCCCTGTAGGCAGAACCGTCACCTGAAGACAGAGATTGAGGTAAGACTGTCAGACACAAACCAGGAAATTCAGTTCTACTTCATGGTAGGAATACTAAAACAGGACAACTAAAGTATTCCCTCAAGAACTGCAAACATGGAACAATTGTCATGGAAAGCCACTTCAGGCATTGGGAAAAGAAGAGGGTTGCAGCAATCCAGTGTATGTTCAACTGAATGGTACAACTAAAGTCTCTACCAGCACCCCCCTCAGCCAAACCACACACCATTTATGGACAATTGCTATCAAATGCCACCATGTGGAGATACTTTCTCAGCATCAATACAACTGCACAAATGAATCAGGCCATGTAAAGTAGCATAGCCAGTCAAACCATACCATCCGCTCATCTTCGGGTGCTACAGTTTAGAATCAGGCTGTTAAGCAGCCTGTTGAAGAACAGAAACATGCTTGCCAACTGCAGCCTGAGCCTTTGGAGCATGTTCAGTACCAGTGACTGACATAATTTTATCCATTAGATTTATATTCTGCTTTTTCCTTACAATAAGCTCATTCATTAATGCACACAAATTCTCTTCCTCCTGTTCCCAATTTTATTCCCACAACTCCTACCCTGTGAGGTATACTGGGTTGAGAGTGTGTAACCAGTCCAAAGTCATTGCATGGCCAAGCAGGGATTAGGAGCCAGACAGCCCGAGTCTTAGACATGCACTCTTAACCACTATACCACAATGGGTCATCACACATTTAAGACTCCTACAAAATTCAGAACTTAAAATTTGTTTAACACTGAGAATACTGTATTCAGGCCTCAAAGCTGTGGCTGTTGGTATATAGGAAAGTCTCCCCCAACCTGGTGCCTTCCAGATGTGTTGAACTACTTCCCACCACATGGGCCCAGCAAGCAGGGTCATTGGTAAAGGATTACATTCCTTTAAGTATTACCAACAGTGCAGTTATCCGTGGAAAATAAAGCCCATAAGAGAACAAGTAGTGTTTCCAGTTTCAATTACACCTCTTTGCTTTGCATGCCCATTTCTTGCAAGAGGTAAGTGCCCATATGAAGTTCAGTTGCATTGGCATACCTGCAATATTTCCTAAAGCCCACACAGCTTGCTCACTGATGTGGTTATGGGGAGAAGCCAGCAGACAAATAAAAGCAGGGATTGCACCACCATCTACTACAGCTTTCGTCTGTTCTGATGTGCCAGAGGCAATATTGGTCAGTGCCCAAGCAGATTCAAACTGAATAGGGCTGCAATCTGTATTTCCCAGGAAGGACACAAACTTTGAAATCAAGCCTGCTCTGATTATTTGGTCTATTGGAGGCTGCTTTTCTCGGGATAGCAGTTTCCTATAAGGAAAGAGAGAACAAGTAAATTTTGTGTATTGTTATAGACAGAATCTTCAGATAAATAGTACACTACCCACTATGACTGGGTTTTTAAATCTCAGTTCCATGGCATGCATCAACATCAAACACTGCATCTAGGAAAGATGGCTAACATGCTTTCTTCTGTCAGCTCCTGCACATGGGACTTCAGCCTTAAAACTCAAATGACAATATTATAGATAAGATTGGTGCACCCATTTCTGATGTACATACACCTGGATTGAAGCTTCCAAAAACTACTTGCAAACAAATGCAGAGCTGCTGTAAATGTGAGCCCTTCAGATTATTCACAGACAGTGGTTTTGGAAAGATGAAGTCTCTCGTTATCTCACAGAGTGAAGTAGGGTATAATGCTGATGTTTTAGCAATAAAAGTTATTTTCAGTGCTACCATTACCTATGCTAAGCATTTGGAAATGAGCAGGCAATGAGTTGAAATTTACTTATACATTCTCCAATGTATGTTCTGTCTTGTGCTATACCTAAATTATAGACATTTTGTTCTAATGTACACATACTTTTTGTTGGAAGACAAGACATAACAAGTACTAGGTATGTCGGAACAAGGAAGTAGTTTGTCTTCAGTACTGAAAATTTTGTAAAGTTCTTAGCTATGTATTCACACTGATCTAAATGAAGCCTCAAATTGTATTCAGTATCTTGCTCTCAGGCACTAGCTCAATGACATACAATTTACAAGGAACAGTATAGCCTCTGAAGGGTTACCTGGCTGCCTGTGTAGCTTGCAGCTGTACTTCTGCATTATTGCTATTGATTCCTTTAACAATGTCATCAATGGACCAGTGGACAGTGACCTATAAGAGAATTGAAGACATATATACTTATGTTAAGCTTCTTTAACAATTGCTAATCCTTGATCAACATCACTGGTGAACTACAATCACATCTACACAACTGTTTCATATTGGGCTGTACCTCCTTTGTTATGCCTATATGGAGATGAAAATGAAATGGCTTCCAGCAAAGACAATATTGAACTTTGTTTTATCTTTAACATTCTAAGAAATACAGGCCAAAGGTTTGCTACTGTACACTCCCAAAACTGAAACTATGCATTTCCCTGTGCTGCTTAAGAGGGAGTTTAGCTTAGTAGTAAAACAGATATTTCACAGGCAAAAGATCTTGAATTCATTTCCTAGCACCTCCAAGCTGAGGTGTGTCAAAGACTCCTGCCTTGAAATGCCACTACCCATCAGTGGAGAGTAGAGCTAGATGGACCCAACATCTGATTCAGCAACTGGCAACATCCTGTTATATGGACTTATTCATGTGCCTAACCAGGCACATGAATAGTCAGACCAAATGCTTCTGAACTCCACAGAACTTACCTGATTGCTTCTATTGTTTTCCTGCAGAGGAGAAGTGGCATCATCAGGGAAAGTGCCAACATTTCTCCTTTTAAGCATCTGTTCATCTTTTTTGGCTTTCCTCAGTTCCACATTGACTTCTATCCGTCGCCGCCTCATTTCCTGATAAAACACATTTGAAAAACAAAAATGACAATTACAGATGGCAAAGTGACAAAACTGCAGTTGCATTCAACCAGTAAGTTACTCACATTGGAATCCTTTCCCTTATTCTTGAATCTATTCAGACGGGCAGCTGTTCCACCAGCATTCTCATTGACAGACATTGTTATCTTGATGTGGATAAGTTCCTGAATCTAGAAACAAATTTCACTGTTAGTCATTAAGGTTCTGAGTTATAACAATAGCAAGACCTCACAGTTCAAGGACAGGAACTGCCTTTCATTTAACTCAAATGCCAACATTTCCCAAGGAGAGAATAAAAAGAATGGAGCCAAGTAGCAATCCCAGACATGCACAGCACAAACGTTTGCATGTTTAGGCAGAAAGGGGGCCTACACTCCCAGAATGTCCCAACCAGCTATGCTACTTGGGGCATTTCAGGAGTTGCCGGCCTTTTTTTCTGCCTAATTTTGTACAGCACTGCACCCTAAGTCCCGCTGACTGGAAGGTTCCAAATCCCAGGTAATTGTATCCCTAGCCTTGGGAACCTTCAAAACGACTTAATGCTCCTTCATCGGACAAGACTGACGGAGCATTATGGCAGTAACTCAGTTTCAAGTATTCCTTTCTTTGAGAGAGAAAAGACCACAAGAATCACCGAGACTTTAACACAAAGAAACCGTGCTACGGTCAAGGAGCTTTGACGGTCCATCCCGACGCACCCGAAAAGAGCGTTTTTTCAGCGCCCGGGGCCTAAATGCTCGTGCCTCTCAGTATTCACGCTCGTTAAAACGACAGCTCTTCCTGAAGTTGCTTATTAGGAAGCTCGGCGAGGTAATAGCGCTTCACGCCGAAGAAGAACGCAGCGAGCCACGCATGATTCCTCCCTTTCGTTCCGTTTCTTACATATCTTTTCCACCAGCCGCCTTTAAAGCGCCCACGAATCAAGTTTTCTGGTCGCTCCAGCTCCCTTCCCCCACGCTTCTGCGAAACAAAACTACACTGCCAAACCGCCTCGCTCGCTCACTGAACTAGTCGGCTCTGAAGCAAGCAAGCAAGCAAGCAAATGGAGAGAAAAGGGGACATGGAAAAGGACATTAAAGAAAAAAGCGTAGAACCTGAACCTTCCTGGAAAGCCCTTTAAGTCTTCACCAGCCCTCGCCAGAGCACAGTCAACACGCCTCACGCCCCCCCCCCGCCACTTTCCACCGCTGCAGGCCTTCAGCGCGCCCCCACCTGCAAGAGCACTCAGCGCCGCTCCGTCTCTATAGCGCCAGACTCCGAAACGAACAAGCCGCCCGCACAGCCAGCGCCCAAACACGTTGCTGCTGCTGTTAAGACTCCTACGCTCCCTCCGCCCCCGCGAGGTGTGATTTAAACTTTCAACGCCTTCGCTCTCTCATTGGTGAATTCGAGTCAAAGCAAAACTCTCATTGGTCAGTTTGAAAAAATAATCACCTCAGACCTCGCGCTTCTGACTGGGACTAGGAAGGAGCCTGATGCTCCGAAGTTCTCGCGATGGTTGTATACAACGTCCACGTGCGAGGGTTCCGGGGACCTTCGAACTACATATCCCTGTATACAATGCGGCTCTTTGGGCGGCAAGCGTTGTAAAACTATACGTCCCAGCATTCAATGCTTTAATTTGAATCTACATTTGGTTTTCTAAAAAGCAACCCTTTTGTATTATTGTAGTAGTCACAGAGAATCTTTGGGAAATATGAGAGCTAAAGCTCGGCTGAATAATTCGTGGGACTCAAAGTTAAAAATGCTATCCGCTAGCATGCAACTGTGGGTCGCTGAGCAGCTGTTAACACCTCCTATATTTTTTCACTCTCAGACAAGCAGTAAAGATTTTTCAAACCATTGAGCACAAGGTGGGAAGAGAGAAGGTGGGATAGAAAATTAGCAAGAGTAACCAAATAATTGCTGTCATCGCTCTGCAATGCAAATTGGCAGCACTATTTAAGGGTGCTGTTCCCAGGTTATTTTATAGAGTTCTACCACCTTTCCTCTGCAATAAAAGTGCTTTCCTTACTGAGGATTACCACTAGGTCACACAGGTCTGTGGACAGCTCACTCTGACTAACTGGTAACTGAGTGCTAGGGCAACATAGCACCAAGTCAAGTAATTAAGAATTTCAAAGAAACTTTATCGGGGGGGGGGGGGGGGAGTTGGCTGAAGCATGTTGGGAGTTGAAGGATACAAACACAATAGGATTGTAGTCTTAAATACTCTTTATAAATACTAATTACTTAATAAATACTAAGTAAAGCCATTTGAACTTAAATGAATCATATTTCTCTTTAAGTATGCAGAAATTTGGGTTTTGTTTTGTTTTTGTTTTTGTTTTTTTTGAGAAAGTACTGTCTGTTCTGTACATTAACATCAGATTCTATTTGCCTTGATTTAAATCTTGGCTAAAACTTGTCTTCCAAGTAAGATTGGCTTAAAAAATAATACTAGGTTTACTGACCAATGCATTAATTAATGACTACATATTATGATGTGGAAACACTACTGAGATTTTCACACATAATAAAAGTGGCTTTATCATTTCTATGCCCTATTTACTATAAAAATGAATGTAACATCTACACTGGCTCAATGGCATATTCAATTTAAACACATACGCAGAAAAAGGAAAGATGAAGATTTGCTTGAGGTAAGCAAACATACCAACACAAATGGTTATAAATGATTTACCAAATTATACTTCACAAACTGCTATTTCTAGAGTAGGTCAATACCTCTCAAAAAAATATTTGGACTATGTTGTGAACTGCAGTTTGAGTACTTACATTTGGGATTCAGGCCTTCTTCAATAGCTAAATGAAAATTAAAAATGTACATTGTAAAATAAAACTTGGTTTGATATACAATGCAATAAATAGTGTGACTCCTTAAGCTGAGGCTTCTCATAAGAGAATCAGGGAGCAATACAATGCATCGACAGGAGAAATGTTCTATAACTCTCAGTATTCCCCAGCAAACAAAGCCACCTAGAGAATGCCGGGAATTGTTTACCTCTTTTCTATCTAAATATAAATATGATTAGGCAAAAAAGATACTTTTTCATAATCACTATTTGCCAACCATAAACAGTCCCTCCAAGATGCCCCAGCTACCTCTGGTAACCCATCTTTTAAAATAATAGTAACAATAACATTAATAATGGTAAGAATAGTTGATCTTATATGCAAATATCTGCACTCATTAAAAAAATTCTGCCCAATTTATGCAAATTTGACACTCTACAATGGTGCTGTTTGTAAATATTGAGAGCTGGAGTTATTACTGTACAGGGGGGTGGCTGCTGGCTAAGTCTTGCAATAATGTGGGAACCCCTGGAACACCTTAACTCCCCACTCCCAAAAAACCAAAGGATTTTGCTGCAAAAGGAGTGTTTGAGCTAGTAAGGATCACTTGAGATTTTGGATATATTTGACAACTTGCCTTCTTCCAAACATTAATGAATTTATAGGCTCAAATGGGCAATGCACAGTGTTCACTCCAGGCTCCCAATGTGTGCTCACCAAACTATTCTGGATTACTGGATTTCTGCAAATCAGGCAGGAAATAAGAGCACAGTATTTAAGAGGAACTTAAGAGCATTTTGATGTGGGTGAAAGAGGAGAGCACAAAAGTTGGCTTGAAACTCAACATTAAGAAAACTAAGATCATGCCATCTGGTCCTAGCACTTCCTGGCAAATAGATGGGGAAGAAATGGAGGTAGTGACAGATTTTATTTTCTTGGGCTCCAAGATCACAACAGACAGTGACTGCAGCCAAGAAATTAAAAGACACTTGCTCCTTGGGAGGAAAGCTATGGTAAATCTAGACAGCATACTAAAAAGCAGAGACATCACCCTGCCGACAAAAGTTTATATAGTCAAGGTTATGGTTTTCCCAGTTGCAATGTATGGCTGCGAAAGTTGGACCATAAGGAAGGCTGAGTGCTGAAGAATTGAGGCCTTTGAATTGTGGTGCTGGAGAAGACTCCTGTGAGTCCCTTGGACTGCAAGGCGATCAAACCAGTCAGTCCTAGAGGAGATCAACCCTGACTGCTCTTTAGAAGGCCAGATCCTGAAGATGAAACTCAAGTACTTTGGCCACCTAATGAGAAGGAAGGACTCACTGGAAAAGAGCCTAATGCTGGGAAAAGCAGGTTGCTTACTTGTAACTGATGTTCTTCAAGTGGCCATCTGTGCAGTCACACATATGGGTTCTGCGCCTGCGCAGTGCCTTTGGTCGGCTGATTGCCAGCTAACGGTTTTTGGTGGGATGCTCCGCTCCCCCTCCCCCCTGTGGCCTATAAAGAGCGAGCGTCCGCCATTTTGTTCAGTCTTTGCGACCGAACGTGCGTCCCCTTGTGAATTTTTTTTTTTTTTGGAATTTTAGAAGGAAAAAATGGAATCATCGATAGATGTATCAGTACCGATGGATGTATCCACTAACCGACACCGAGCGGGGCCGGCGGGTGGGTTGTGTGACTGCACAGATGGCCACTCGAAAAACATCAGTTACGGGTAAGTAACCTGCTTTTCTTTGTTGTGGCCTCTGTGCATCACAAATATGGGTAGATTAACAAGCTTACCATAAAGGAGGAGGGAAGGTGTCCTCAGTGAAGAACAGACGAAAGAACAGCTCTGCCAAAGGAGCAATCCCGTCGGGTCCGAACGTCAAGACGGTAGTGTCTGGCGAAGGTGCAAGGGTTCGCCCAAGTAGCAGCTCGGCATACATCATCAAGTGAGACTCCGGATGCAAAGGCAGATGAGGTTGCAACAGCCCTAGTGGAATGGCCTCGAGGGACTGAAGGCAGATCGAGCTTAGCTAGATGATAAGATAGGACTATAGTGTGTACTATCCATTTGGAAAGTCTCTGTGGCGAGACTGGATCGCCCTGATCTCTAGTGGAATATTTAATGAACAGTTTATTCGAACGTCGAATAGACTCAGTCCTCGATCTGTAAAAGGCTAAGCAATGCCTAACATCAAGTGAATGCAAAGATCTCTCTAGTGGAGTCGACAGTGACGGAAAAAAGGTGGGTAGCACAATGTCTTGTCCCGTATGAAAAGGCGTAGTCACTTTAGGCAGAAAAGACGGGGCGAGGTGTAAAACGATCTTCTCCCTGTGAAGGTTCAAATAAGGAGGGTCTATGTGGAGAGCGCAAAGTTCACTGGCCCTTCGAGCTGAAGTGACAGCCACGAGAAACGCTGTTTTCCATGAAAAGAGGCGCAGATCCACTGTCGCCAGTGGTTCAAAGGGGGCTTTCATAAGGGCTTGTAAAACAACCCTTTTAAAGACTCCAGGTAGGCATCACCGGTTTGATTGATGGGTTAAGATTGTATAGTCCCTTTAGAAATCTCTTGAGAATAGGTTGAGAAAAGAGAGGTGATCCGTCAACTAAGCCACGGTAGTGGGCTACTGCTGCCGTATATACTTTAATAGACGACGGTTTTAGTCCAGAATGGTGCAGTTCCAATAGGAACTGAAGGATTTAATGTATGGATGACCTGAATGGGGAGAAGGAGCAAGACTCGGCACAGGTTGAAAACATTTCCACTTAGCCGCATATGATTTCCTTGTGGATGGCTTTAAGGCAGAATCGATGATATGTTGGATGTCTGGGTGCAAAGCTGTAGAATTCAACGGGTCATGTCTCAAATCCGATGGTACTTGTCTCGAATCCGATGGTACGGAATGAACAAAGAATGAAGGAGGCGAGGAAGCGCCCGAGTGGTTGGATCCGACGACTGGATTCGAACCAGTTGAAGTTGTCGTCGGTACCGAGGGAACGATGGTAGTCATCAGATGTGCCACGCTGTTAGATTCAGTGAAAGCAAGTCCGGGTGGCGAAGCATACCATCCTTTTGGGTTATGAGATATGGAAGCGACAGTAGATGAAGATATTCTCCTCGAGAGATGTCGAGTAGTGTTGCAAACCAAGCTTGACGTGGCCACCAAGGGGCAACTAGTATCCCCGATGCTCGGTTGTGCACTATTTTCGCTATGACCCGCATCACAAGGGGGATCAGGGGGAAGGCACAGAAGGTCATGTTGCTCCACGGGATCATGAAGGCGTCCCCTAAGGATGCATGTCCGATTCCTGCTCTCGAGCAGTAAGCATTGCACACCCTGTTGAGTGACAAATAAGTCCATGTCGGGAAACCCCCAGCGCTGGAAAATATGGTTGCGTGTGTGAGGATCTAGCTCCCATTCATGAGAGGTGAACATGTGCCTGCTGAGAAGATCTGCCTGCACATTGTCTGCACCAGTGAGATGGACAGCCCTCAGAGTGATGCCTCTCGGAATGCACCAGTCCCAGATTTTCATGG